AATGGATACAATATTTTGTATCAGAAACACTAACATTTAAGTTTACTTGTTTGTTCATTCATACTTGTGTGTTTCACTTTGTAAATATAGTGGTTTGTGATGTAAATGAAATATGATATATATGATCTGTGATATACACTTTAGTTTGCAATTTTGCAGTTATCAGTCAGTCATACACAGCTTTCAACTTGAATACATTTGTATACCACAACTTATAAAATTCATTATATGTTTTGATCAGAATTCATTATTCCCCAGAGATTATTTCTGATTTCTTCTTTCCAAATATGGATGTAAAAGAAGTCCTAATTAATCATCTGTGAATTTCCAAACTCTACTTAAAGAGACAAAATCACTAATTAATTTGCCTTTTCATTTATTACAGTTTAGTTATTTTTCAGGGGGGGGTGTACATGAAGATAATATTTTACTGTCTTGGAAAGCAGTAAATAACCTTTTGAGATCTCCATAACTTCTTTAGTCATATAACTGTATATATCCAAGTTAAGCAGACCGGTACACATTTTTTTTCTCAAATTTTTTTAAAATTGTGAATCATTTTAACAGCAATTGTTGCCCACATTAAGCAGCATTACAATTTATAGACATTTTAATACTGGTAGTTGCTGAAGTCTTTAAGATAAGCAATATCAAAATTACTGAACTGATCACAAATTGTTCCATAGATTCATATTGCCAGGAAAGAAAACATATGGCTTCCATAGCATCTAAATTTAAATGTATTATTCTTCATGCCCATATCAACAAGTCAAGTGTATTATGTCATAGACCTGCTCGTTTTTCTGCTCATATCTAGGATCTTGCTGCATCCGTCCATTATATATATTTATTTTCTTGATAAGCCACTGAACCTAAGAGGGTCCTGTACTTAAATGAAATGCTTCACTAACACATTGTAACAAGGTTTTGCATGCTACAACCAGTTTTAATACCATTAGTGTTACAGTCAAAAGTCAAGGTCACAGCACGATCAAATATAGGAGGTTATTTGAACCAGTTCCAATTTTGTATCTTCATCACCTGGCAGTAACCTTGACCTGTGATTCTGACCTTTAGCACAGCATTTGCATAAACAATTAACAATTAAAATGTTAAGAAAATTTGCTCATAATATATTTTTAAGCAAGCACCTTACTTTTAATTAGTTTATAGCAAACTGATGTTTGTTTCCTCTCGTTTTATGCTAAGGATCTTGACATTCATATAGGATGTACATTTTTAAGGCAATCATATGAAAATTTCAGGAAGATGGGATTTTACTACTGTTCAGAAAAAGAACAATTTTTTGGGAGGGTTCGGTCAGAATATATAATTAAAATATTTTGGTCATCTGGTGTTAATGACAAAGAAAAGAATTTTGTGCAATTTAAAAGCTTATTGGCTGAAAAAGTATATTGCATAATAATGATCTTGAATCATTTGATGCATCCATTTTCAGGGTTAACATGAAGAGCATCTGTGTGCTTTGGATCACAATGTTAATTCAAAGAGATGAGTTTACAAATGTTGTATATTGAATTTTAGTACATTCTGTGTGCTTTGGATCACAATGTTAATTCAAAGAGATAAGTTTACAAATGTTGTATATTGAATTTTAGTACATTCTGTGTGCTTTGGATCACAATGTTAATTCAAAGAGATAAGTTTACAAATGTTGTATATTGAATTTTAGTACATTCTGTGTGCTTTGGATCACAATGTTAATTCAAAGAGATAAGTTTACAAATGTTGTATATTGAATTTTAGTACATTCTGTGTTATATATATATATATATATATATATATATATATATATATATATATATATATATATATATATATATATATATATATATATAAAAAGAAGAATATAATAATATAATGACTGACAATCTGTGGCCCTATTACAGTTGAATTAAAACTGTAGTTGATGTTTTTCTCATTATATGAGTGTACAAATTTTTTGATGGATAAATGTATTTGAAAAACACATTGCATAAGTTGAGAGATTAAGTCATTCATGTGTCTTTATATATGTTTGAGAGATTAAGTCATGTGAGTTATAGATATGTTCCATTATGTTTTTATAGTTTTGCAGATCTGTATGATATATAAAGTTGAATACATATACTTGTATATTTTATGAAAAAACTGTAAGGACTGTAATAAAATTACACTCTGATTTTTTTTCTTTTCCTATAAATCAAATCACACATGGTAGGTACTAATCATAACTCCTGCCCAGGTAACTGCCTTTCTGTTTTATATTTAACTTCCTTAGTTTTTTCTGTCTTCTTGCATTCATTACTTCAGCTGGTGATAAACTAGAAGAGATTATGGGATGGTCTAGCACCATTCATCTGTCCATTGGCACAAGTTTTTTATTGGTCTAGCACTACTCATCTGTTTATTAGCAGTTTTTTTTATTATTCTAGCACCCCTCATCTATCCTTTTGCAGTTTTTTTAAATATTATTTTAGCACACTTCATCTGCACATTAGCATAAATGTTTATTGGTCTAGTACCCCTAATCTGTCCATTAGCAGTTTTTTTTTATTAGTCTAACACTCTTCATGTATACATTAGCACAATTTTTTGTATTGGTTTAACACCCTTCATCTGTCCATTAGAAACAGCTTTTTATTGGTCTAGCACTCTTCATCTGTCCATTAGCACAAGTTTTTTTACTTGTCTAGCACCCTTCATCTGTCCATTAGCACAAGTTTTTTTACTTGTCTAGCACACTTCATCTGTCCATTAGCACAAGTTTTTTTACTTGTCTAGCACCCTTCATCTCTCCATTAGCACAAGTTCTTTTTACTTGTCTAGCGCCCTTCATCTGTCCATTAGCACAAGTTTTTTTACTTGTCTAGCACCCTTCATCTGTCCATTAGCACAAGCTTTTTTTACTTGTCTAGCACCCTTCATTTGTCCATTAGCAATAGTTTTTTTTTTACTTGTCTAGGACCCCTCATCTGTCCATTAGCAGTTTTTTATTAGTCTAACACTCTTCATGTATCCATTAGCACAATTTTTTGTATTGGTTTAACACCCTTCATCTGTCCATACGGAAAAGCTTTTTATTGGTCTAGCACCCTTCATCTGTCCATTAGCACAAGTTTTTTTTTACTTGTCTAACACCCTTCTTCTGTCCATTAGCAGTTTTTATTATTCTAGCACCCTTCATCTATCCATTAGCACAAGTTTTTTATTATTCTAAATTTTATAAACACAATCATCCCATGATCTGTTTGGTCCTAAATGCAAATGGTCCTGCATGCCATCCAGAATGGCCACCATGGCAGCCATCTTGATAATCTTGTTCTCATAGCTCTTCCTGAACTGAAAGTGATATTGGCATTCGGTTTTCATTAGAATACTTTTTATCCTGTCAAACTGATCCTAAGTTGAAAATGATGCTGGTCAGTTGTCTAATATGGCTGTCACATTGGCCAACGTGATAATCTTGATATCACAATTCTACTTGTATTGATGGTCATATCAGCATGTGGTTTTTACTAAGGCTTTTTATGATACCTTGTTCAATCAAATGCAAGTGATGTTCAGACATCCAGGTAATAGCCACCACAGCGGCATTTTGCAAAATCTTACCTCTACTTCTGCTGAATAAATGGTCATATTAGAATAGGGGTTTCACTGAAAGACTTCTTTGCATGTCAAATCAGAATAGGTGTTTCACTGAAAGACTTCTTTGCATGTCAAATCAGAATAGGAGTTTCACTGAAAGACTTCTATGCATATCAGATCAGAATAGGGGTTTCACTGAAAGACTTCTTTGCATGTCAAATCAGAATAGGGGTTTCACTGAAAGACTTCTTTGCATGTCAAATCAGAATAGGGGTTTCACTGAAAGACTTCTTTGCATGTCAAATCAGAATAGGGGTTTCACTGAAAGACTTCTTTGCATGTCAAATCAGAATAGGGATTTCACTGAAAGACTTCTGTGCATGTCAAATCAGAATAGGGGTTTCACTGAAAGACTTCTTTGCATGTCAAATCAGAATAGGGGTTTCACTGAAAGACTTCTTTGCATGTCAAACCAGAATAGGGGTTTCACTGAAAGACTTCTGTGCATGTCAAATCAGAATAGGGGTTTCACTGAAAGACTTCTTTGCATGTCAAGTCGGTAATAAATGAATGTGGTTCAGATATGATATCCAATATGGCCACAATGACAACCATCTTGCAAATCCTGTTAATGTCACTCCTGCAAAGTCAAATTATCATGGGGTTTTCAGCAGAACACTTTTTATAATGTCTTGCTAGTCCTAAATTAAACAATTCCAATTGGTAGCCATGTAGACAATCTGGTCATCAATACTCTTAAATGGAATCTCATTTATTCATCACAAATTCTTATGGTGTCTATTACGTCCTAAATGAAATGGTGTCTAGTACGTCTATAGCACCAACTCGAAATGGTGTCTAGTACGTCTATAGCACCAACTCTAGAGGGAGGGTTATTGGTTAGTTGGATTTGGGTTGTTTGGGTTTCCCCCCCCCCCCAAATCACGTATACTGTAAAATTTGTAGTTGTGAATTTGGCATAGGGATGCATCCTCATAAATGTAGGTCACTGATCCTTACTTATACGTACATTTAAACCAAACTTAGTACGCAGATTACAACTGATTCGCATGTAGGCATTCTGCATCGTCGTTTAGCGAAGTTATAGCCCCTGACTCTCAAACTCTCCCACTATTGTTTATGTACAAAATCTTACGCAATTAGCACTGGAATTTAATCACATTCGTATGCGGGTAGATATAAAGAAGCTTTGGATGAATTCGATTGTCAGCATCGTTTATCAGAACTATTATAACCACTGATTATTGGACCCTCACAGTTTTATTGATGGACGATACCTCACTTAATTGCAATTTTAGTTCAACCACATTTAATAGCATCATTTTGAAGAGGCCAAAGAAAAGCGCGGGTTATAAATTCATGAACTTTGCTAATTAGATTTCAACAAATATTGTATGATGACCTTAACGATTAGAGCGTCCGCCTCAGATGCGCAAGGTCGCGGGTTCGAACCCCGGGTGAGTCATATTAAAGACATAAAAATGGTACTTGCTGCTGCCTCGCTAGGCGCTCAACATTATGAGGTTAGTGTTAGGACTGGTCGGCCTGGTGTCAGAATAATGTGACTGGATGGGACAAGATGTTACATGTCAGCGGAATGATGCCCCATTGCTACACATCACTATAAACTGATATACTGCAGATATCGTAGCGATATGGCTGAAAAATTGTTAAAGCTGCGTTAAAAAATTAAGTCACACACACACACACACACAAATTGTTAAAGCTACGCTAATAATAAAAAATGAACACACAAACACTCAACTACTGGAATTACTTGCTCTGTTGGTGATCCACATTTATTTTGAAATATAAAATATTTAATGGTTTGTATCTGTTCAGCACATACCAGAGCAAAATGTCCAGTACGCTGCTTATTCGATAAAAATTCAGTACATGTATTATTTTTGCAATGTCCCCATAAAATATCTATTATTTGTTGTGTTTTTCAACTAACATAAATGCAAGGGGTATTCAACAGTTGCATTACATCAAATTCGTGCAATTTTTTTTTTTTACCACAAACATAAATCATTATTCCTAGAAAGGCTTGTGCGCCGACGCAATGAAATGGAAAACCAACAAAGACTATATAATGGGCATATTGATAAAGTATCCGTTCGATAACAATCTTCGGCCGAAAAGTCAGTAAAATGTTTTAGCACAGATTATGGATAATTCTGACTGTCATGTTACGGCACGTGCAGAACGCGTGCTATTCTACCACAATGATTTGATCAAAGAGATTGAAGTTGTAAAAATAGAACATGCATTTCGTTTCCAATTTTCCTGTCAATTTATCTGAAGTATGTTTTAAAACCAGTAATAAAATATACCGCGTCAATTGCCGTCACATAAACACATTTGAGGTGAGCGTTTTTTTGTATATATAAATCCAAGGATACTGCTCGATTTTACAGGTACTATAAACAACAGTATCTTTGTTTTTAATTTTACAGGTTCTCTAAACAACAGTATCTAAAGTTTCTAAAGTGTTATTGTCTTTTTTTTATTCTGTGCTTTTAAACATTTAAACTAGATTGCTTGCTTGATTGATTGATTTATCAATTAATAAGTTCATCAATTTCGTGTCGATATTCCAAAAGTTCCAACAATCACAACGTACCTCCCTTCACACATGGGCGAGAAGTGGTATTTAAAGACAATAAGATACCACCGTCCTTCATTTGGCGACCACTTATCTTTGCAAGTGATGGAACTTGGGATTGAGCCTTTAACCGTAGAGACGCATCGCAACACCGTGCTGCTCTAATTAACTTGCGTGCCGAATGTCCGTTTATTATCTTTAGCGAGGTGAATCAACAAAGAAGGTTTCACGAGAAATATTAAAATGATAAGGATCAGATTTTACAAAGATAGTCACAACAGTACCTGCTTGTTGTTGTTGGGCTTAACACCATTTTTCAGCACACGATAGGCTATTCATGGCGGCCAGTATTAATGGTGGAGGAAGAAACCGGGAAATCACCGGAAAGAACCACCGACCCACGAGAAGCTACTGGCAAGCTTTCTCACCTATCCACATTCGCCGAATCCTAGACTCTAACCCACGCAGACAGAGGTGAGATGGCAGTGATCCGTAACGGACAGCGCTTTAGACCACTCGGCCACTCGGGGCCCCACAACAGTACCTGGTGATTTAGACTTTAAACGAGCCAGATTCACATCTCATATATGAAGTGTGTGTGTGTGTGTGTGTGTGTGTGTGTGTGTGTGTGTGTGTGTGTGTGTGATTTGGATTTTTAACGTTGCTTTAGCAATTTTTCATTCATATCGCTATGTTATCTTCAATGTGGCAGTTTATAGTGATGTGTAGCACTGGGGGCATCATGCCGCAGGTATGTAGCATCATGTCCCATCAAGTCACATTATCCTGACACCAGGCCGACCCGACCAGTCCTAACACCAATCTTTTAACGCTGAATGCTAAAGCGAGGCAGCTGTTAGCACCATTGTTGTAAGTCTTTGGTATGACTTAGTCTGGGATAGAACCCACGACCTCCCGCATCCAAGGCGGATGCTTTAACCACCAGCCCACTGGAGCGGTGTTGAGGTAGATGAGATAGTAATAATGGTAAAACGATTGGCGATAGAAATTATTGTGGGAATATATTTGCATTGCCAAATATGAACCACAGTTTTGATTAATAAAATATGTCTATATTACATCAATATTACATTCGTACATAAACATGCTTGTCAATGTATCACAATTTATCATAACGTTATGCGAACACATGTTCAAGGCATAGGTGTTCGGAATGATTAATGCGAGTTTTCAAATACAATACTGTATTCCAGTACTTGCATTTATATTCAGTTTGGTAAGACCTGATGAATAAGAATCTCTAATTTATATCTGGTTATTGAATTTGCAGAATTGATCTAAATGGTGCAAAATCTTCAAAAACTGTTTGTAAACAACCCAGATTGTTCTAAAATGGAAAATTCCACAAAATAGACGTAGTATTTCCAGAAATTGCTAATTATGACCTAAGTCCGGTAGAGGAGATTATAAACTTGTTAACTTGAGAAAATCATTATTGCCTTTACATCTTTAAACAAAATCGATCTTACTGTTGTGATGAGTATCTGATTTTGGTGAAATTACAAAAAAAAAACTTTTCACTAGAGATAACAAGTGCTTTCAAATAATATTCTTGGACAGAAATATTAATCTAGAATTATAATTAATTCAGGATTATATTATTGTGATTAATTGGAAGACAACAAATGCTTCATCATACTTCAGACTACGGATACATTAGTACATTCAAGACTGAAGGCACAAAACCCACTTAAGGCTACGGGTACATTAGTACATTCAAGACTGCAAACACATAAACCACGTATGGCAACTGGTACATTAGTACATTCAAGACTGCAGACACTTAAGCCCTGGATCTTATTTCGAGCACCAATGGAATTTAATTATAAATTCATTCATTTGGGCTGCTGATAAAACGTTTTAGACTATTTGGGATTTACTTCACAATGCTGAAAGTTCTTTTTAAATTTTCTCTTTTGTATTTTAGGAAAATCAATTATTCGTTGACTTTTATGAAACTTCTTAGTTTTCGCTCTTTTCTATTCTTTTTTAAGACCATAAAGTCGTAATAAGGTATTCTATCTCACTTTCACGGATCATATTGCTATTGAATTAAATTAATTATGGATGGCTTGAGAATTTTGACGACAGATGTAGGAGAGACAGACAGATAAACAGACATTGGAAAGATAGAGTATCACTAAGTTCACGAAGTCCCATATTGTACGCCTGAAAACAAAGCTAAAAGTTCTTGCATCTTTTTGTATTATATTGTGTATACATTTTCATCAATTCCTTGTACAACAGTTAAGAACACAATAATGGAGGTGTTAGGTACTGTCTCATTCCATCGTACCATAGTAATATCAAACTTAAAAGAAATATGGATGGATTTACGGGTTTTGACGAGAGAGAGAGAGAGAGAGAGAGAGAGAGAGAGAGAGAGAGAGAGAGAGAGAGAGAGAGAGAGAGAGAGAGAGAGAGAGAGAGAGAGAGAGAGAGATCTTGTAAATAATGAACGTAGTCATAGATTTGGGCATAAGTGATAATTTTCAATTTATCCACAAAACTTGTCGCTTTTTTATTCTCCCCAATGCCTGTTTAACACAATAATATAGAGACTTCCTTTTTAACCCACATTCATACGTTTCCTATTTATAATGCATACAAGATTTTCAACTTAACTGTTCTTTATTCGGACTCTTCTCTTTGATTTTAGAAATGAATAGCACGCAGTATCGACAAACATTTATTAGCTTCAATTACTCTGGGGGTCTTTTTTAATTGAAAGGTCGTAATGAGCGGCAGTGTGTAACTGGTTACACTTTCATATCTTTTTTTATCTAGCAAATTTCAGCACAATTTTCAATATGAAGATGGAATTGGATATAATCGATTATGGCCAGAAATTTATTAGTTAGTAGCGACTAGAATCTTGTACAAAATATTCATGGGCATGTCGCTGTGGTGCGACCTGGTAGGGCACTTTATTGTCACAAAATGACATAATCTTCATGTACTGATGTGCCGCTAAAGACCTAAAGACCAAACGAAACCAAATTAAAAAAAAGTTATGTTCACATCGTTCCATAATCACCAGATAGGTCCAGTAAAAATTGTATGCTAAATTACATTCATTACACATTTAAAGATAATACTTTCAGTTGTAAAGCACGAAGATGACAGTTAAACAATTTCAAATCACACGGCACGTATGCTTAGTAAATCTATGAAAAGTAATTTATTGATGGGTTTTCAGAAATAAAAACTCCAATAGGAGTGTTTTAATTTACTTAAATGCACATTGTTCCAGCGGCGTGTGTTCCTTTGTGCTGTTGCCATCAACTAGCACGTGTACTTACAAGATTAATATCCTGTTTGCGATGGCAACGGGCATGTTTCCCAGTGCAAAAGGAAATCGTCCCTCTAACCAAATATTTTCCTAGCAAGCAGACAAAAGTCGCATTTGGGTGGATTATTGTTTGTATTTGTTTGTATATTCGATACTTTATGAATCAATTTTATTTCACAAGGCCGTCGAGGGTTTATAATTGGAAGCAAAACTGACCTGCATCCCACAAAGAGGCGGGTTATATATACGCGAATAGTAAAATTCGGTTTAGTTCTTTGATGTAAAATATTCAAAACATGACACTTCATATGTTGAAAAAGGAAAATACCAAAAAAGAATTAAGAAAAAATGATGGCTATTACAGACTGTAATCTATCGAAGACATTACAGACTCTCCTCAACTAAGATTTAAGTGTCGCTAAAGCTTATTTTCAGATAATATGCACCATTAAATACAAGCAACGACTCTTCGTTTTATATTTATATTTTTCAAAGATTGCGTACGCATGTATTAGGAAATTAACGGGTAGCGAATTTTCTACATATGCGA